ATAATATAATTTAATATATTGTATTTAAAAAAAATTTAGTGTTACATAAAACAAATTCAATAAACTATCAATTATTATCCATAATTGGTGGTAAGCTAATTTATCTTAATATAACTCCACTTCACATCACTTATGTTGTTAACAAAAAATGACTACACTTACTATTATTCTATTAGGCATGAGATTGTTGTAACCAAAATGACTACACATAATAAAAAGTTGTAGCGATTAGTTGGGTTAGAACTTTATTGTGTGTATTTGGTGGTAGTAATTTTATGATTTGACAAAATAAAGAAAAACATGTTATAATTGGGTCTAGTGATGAAGTTATCATGTCATGAGTTCTACTTCTTGCGAAATTATATAACTTAAAGGTATCCTCTTTCATATTTCTTTTCCTAATAAACTTATTGTCACATTTTTAACAACCAAGCAACTGTATGTATTTCACAAATCAACTAAACACATTGAAGTTATTATTACTTCATTATTAGATTATTTAAACTACATATATTTAATGTTACAATCAAACTTACTATTTTATTATTTACAAATTTAAAGTAAAATAAATTATTATATATATATATATATATTAAAAAATAAATTTGTTATGTGCCTACACATTATTAGTATAAATAATTTTCATTTTATTGTAAAAATTATATATATACATATAATGAAGTGTACACAATGTATTCACATAATAAAAAGAAATTCTACAAGTATTTTGCTAATGTTGATAATTAAATATTATTCAGAAAATAATACATAGATTTTGAGTTCAAGAAAACTAGTTGTATCTCTTTGATTAATCTTCTCTAGTATGTGAGCAATTAATCATCTATATTTTATTAAAATATTTATTTGATTGTTATTAACATTTTAGTTTATCTTATTCATTATTTTTTCTGTTATTTACTATATTTTTTTATGTTACTTCGATTTCGTATCAAATGTAAAAATAACTAAAATTTAATAATATAACTTTATACTGAATAAAATAACAATATCTCATATCTTTAAATCCATCTATATAAAGTTTTTTTTTCTAAAGAAAAAAATCTCCATTAATAAATCTTTATTTATTTTATTTTATAATATCAATAAAAGTTAAGTAATAAAGTATTCAACAAATGAAGTATTCCCTCTCAATAAAGTTTTTTTTTCTTTCACAAAAATTGAACTTAAAGACTTTATTTAATGGGACTAATTCCTGTCCTAATGAGCCAAAATCTTGTTCTCTTTTTCATAAATGTAATTTTTATTTTTATTTTTACTTTAAAATTTCTATGGAAAATTTTTACTAATCATTTTTAATAAAGTTGTCCTTCTTGTCCACGTTTTTTTCTAACTACAAGAATTAAGTTTAAAATTTTGTTTGAGGATATAAAGTCTAATATCTATGGATCAATAACTTTTTAGTACCAAATATTTTTATTTTAAAATAAAGACCAAAATATTGATGAAAGCTTCTTTTTTTTTTTTCTTTTCTGTGATTCAATGACATGGACGTATGCATTTACCATTTGTAATGTAGTGAACCCTATCAATGTGTTTGTTAATGTTGGGAGAAAAATGTCACAATTGCCTAGGGGCCTGTGCAGGATGTTACTGTTAGGAATGAAAGTGATGTGTATACAACATTTTATCTACAATCATTATGCACTTGTCATTATCCTTTTTCACCATGTTCTTGTAAATTTGTTAAATTAATTTTGAAAAAAAGAAGTATTAGTAGATATAGTTTATTACCATAAAAATGATTTTATTATTAAAATAAGTTATGATAGCAAACTGTGATATAATTTTTTTATTCAGTTGATAGTTTAACGTGATTTTAAATCATTAATTTCAACTAAACATTCTAAGATTACGTTTTATGTAGAATAGTTGGATTCTTATTTTAAAAATTCTAATATATATTTCCATATTCCAAAATTCAAAAATTAAAATAAAAAATTATATATGCATAATTCCATGTTCCAAAACGAAAAAAATAAAAAATAAAATCATTTACTCTTCAGCCGTCCCTGATTGGAGCGATACCTGTGAAAATAAACTCATGATTGATCGACAAAGTAAATGAGAAAAATAAATTAATTTTATTGGTGAAAAAAATAAGATATAATATATTATATTTTATTTTGTTTTCTAAAAAAATACTATATATTATTATTCGTACTTATCTGTTTATTTTTTTTTTCATATTTTCTTTATTTTTCTTTATGAAACTCCTTTTAATTAAATTTTTATCCATATTCTTTAATCATACTCACCTTATTTCTCACTTCGCTTTCGAACAGGTTGTTTTGTTCGCCGACAAAATTTGTCTTCTTATCTCAACATATCAGAAAGATAAAGCAAGATATTATGATAAATAGATCACAGGGTGATTTTATTGCATATACGTACGAATATTTACGAAATCGGCTGAGAATTTTTTTACTCATTTAATAAAATAAAGAAAACAAATTCTGAAATTAAAGGAAAACATATATACTGTTCACAACTATATATGTCTAATATATTATTTTAGTCATTATAAAATTTACACTATAGTCTCTAATTATTTTCTATTTTTTTTACGATATGTTAGTTTTAGTTATTTAAGAAACTTTAAACTGGTTTTTCAATACATAATTAGTATAGTAAGAGGATGTAAGAAAAATAATTAATTACAAGCAACAAAATCATAAAATAAATACTGTATATTGTAACAATCATAGATACATTTAAATGTAATTCTTACTATCAAACAGTTATCATATAAAAAAATTCACAAATATATTTAATTAAAATATCATATTTAAGTTATTTAAAAAATAGTTTAAGCTTAATTGTCAAAGTTATGCTGTTTCAACAAAACCCCACTAGATTCATTTTAATAGTAGAGAATTGAATAGTGTATATATATATATATATATATATATATATATATATATATAGAGAGAGAGAGAGAGAGAGAGAGAGAGAGAGAGAGAGGTGTTCAGTTTTTTGTAGTAATTATTGTATGCAAAATAACTCATCTAAATAATATTATCACATCTTGCTAATATATAGGTTTATTTTATGTACCAAAATGATATTTTTAGTTTATCTTATTGCATATTGCATCTTTATAATCTAGTCTTTATCTTATGGGAGAAATTTTTGTTAGAAAATAAGAAGATATTGTATAATATAGAAGACATATCATAAGAAAAAATCTATATTTTTAGATAAAAATGAAAATGATTTGATCCTGAAAAAAATATATACAAAATGTAAAATATTCCTTGACAAGCCCTAGAGCCATGCTTTTGTTCAACGTCTCAAAGTCGTCTGGTAATTTATTTAAAAGCAAATACTGAAGCCATCCTTTCTTTGCCATTATTACTTGATTCCAAAATGTGAAACATTACGCATCCATCTACATAAACATTCTGAAGACTTTTAATGTGTAACAAAGAATATGTGGCTATACTTTTAACAAGGAGAGGTCATATTCATGTTTTAAGTGAGAACAAATATACCTCTATAAATTTCTTGGCTCATAATGAAGATATTAAATTACTAGAATATGGCCCCGGGACAAACATTTCTTTCTTTTTCAAACTCTGAACCCTTGAGAGGCTAATTACGCTCCACGAAAGGCTTCTGTAGCCAAAAGGGACCATAAATTTCATCTATATATTTAATCACATTATTCAACATTAATAATAATGATGATTTCTAATAAGCTGAACAATTTCTAGCCTTCCAATGCGTAATGCATATCTGGTACTATCAGGGATTGGCCTAAGCCTCAACAAACATTATATTATAGCTTGATGCCTGGACCACCTCATTTAAGAGGTGGTTTAGAATTTATTGCAGAAGATAAAATTCCTTGGTTCTCATATATACATGTCTCTATCGTTAGTTGTATGTCCCTGTAACGACATTCTATTCTTGAATCTTGAACGCTCTCTATTGAACCAGCTGTGAGATCAATAAGCTCATTATTAGTATTCTTCTTCGTATCGTCAATGGAAGAATTAATAGTGAACATGCAATGTAACACCTTTTATGCAGGGTTGTATACTGCTACAATCAAATAATTCAGCTCAACTCTTGGCATGAATTTTGCTTTGATTGCAAACAGAAGAAGAAATTACCATTGTATAGTTATATTTAGGTATAGCAGGTTTATTGAAGAAGTCTGAAGAACTAAAAAGATGCATACAGTACAGTGACTTTTTCATGCAAATTTCATTGTATTTGAAGAGTACTTATATGTGATCTTACTTTTACCAGTAATATGGTTAAAATAATAAATATATTTTACCCTATAAACTGGTGTTTTAGGTTAAGCTCGTTCATATCTGCAAACTGTAAGAGGACTTGGCAAGTTGCTATAACATTTTATGATTTTCTTTGTTGTCTTTGTTGGTTGAAATTGGATGTACTATTTCAAATAGCCGACAATTATACACAGTAAGAAATTTAGCAATTACTGTTGTTTTACCCGTGGTTCTTTAAGGAAAATATCTTGAAAAGTAAAAGGGAAAAGAGTTTCCATTTATATGCTAAATAAACTTTCGGGACATGATTCTAACCCAAGAATCAGATCCAACAAACATAAAAACAAAGCTATGCAACAAGGAAGCTTTGTATCATTGGAAGAGGAGTTTTTCTCATGTCTTCACTTCACAATACGAGGTCACCTATCACATCCCTTTCTTTTTATGAGATCAAAAGGAAGACTACAAAAAACATCCATTTTCATCACTTTTTTAACCAAAATCTGCAGATTCTGAATGGAAAAGTGTTTATGATATCAAAGCCAACAGAAAAATACAAGTTTACGAAGAGGGATAGTACTAAAACAGTACACAAGAGACACCTTGACCTTACTATCGACGTGGAGATTTGAAGCCCATTAGATGCACATTTTGCCTTTCTCACACTTCCATACGTAGACTCACACATAATTGAACAAATTCCAAAACCAAAAGAACAAAATAAAACTCAAACTTGTGCTAAATGTATAGTAGTTTTGAGGCATGTGGTGAGTGAGCCTGCTGCAGTGGTGATGTGGCATAAGCATGATGTTGTTGTCCAGGTTTTGCACCAAAATTTCCCAGTTTTATCTCAGAAGGAAACCTTGCCACCTGAGAGGTATTAGTCCTGTTAGGAATTTTGGGTGTAGAGCTTGGATGGTCATATGTTATGCAAGCATCACCAGCAACTCTAACTGCTTTGTGGCTCTTGCAACCCAACAGCACGCTAGGGCGCCTTCTCTGAACCTCTCTAGGTGCTTTTGTTTTTCCATTTGATGAAGTCAATGTTGTCCTTATTGGACTCCTTATGGTTATTTCTGACATCTGTTCTTCACAGTCTGACATGACTGCAGCACTGGCTGTGGCCACACTCCACTCTATGCTTGCCTCACTTGGTGCATAACCATTTGTGGGGCTGACACAGCTGGAAGCAGCATCTGATGTTTGCCTTGCAAGGAAGGGGTTGGTTTTGCTTTTGATGCTTTCTATCTCAAACAAGTCTGAACTTGCATCACTAGCAGCATCATTAATGTAGTTTGAATCAATTTCTTCCATCCTTGGAGCACCATCTCGTGAGGGCATTGCCACCCTTCTATCAAAGCTCAAGGACTTTATCTTATTTTTCAGTATTGGGGAGCCAAACACCTCCAAGGATTTCCTTGCTTTGATCTCTTCTTCCTCTTGTTGAGCTCTCATTTTGACTGGATGGTTTTTGTTTCCTGAGGCAGAACTCAAGGGTGAGAATGTCAAATTGTTCTTTTGGCCGTTCACTCCCACCCCAAAATTCTCTTCCTTTTGGAAATAAACATTATTGATTTTCAAGAGTTCTGCATTAGGCTTACTTAATTTAATTGAATGGCTAGCATCTAGAGCAGAAATATCCACCAGCTTTCTTGTTGTTGTTTTTCCATGAACTGCACCATAAGTAGCAGGTTTGCTAAAACTGACTTCACCTGCATCAACAGAATCTTTTCCAGAACAAGAGCATTTGAAGCCAAGACCAGCTAGAACGCTCTTGGCTTGACCTTTGTCTTTTTTATTCCTCAAAGAATTTCTCATCCCACTCTGCAGAAAAGCAGTTTGGCTATTGCTAGTTGATTCAGAGCGAATACTTGGAGTTCCATACTGATGTGTGTGCTTTCTAGTTGCTAGAGCTATTGACTCATCTCTCTGGTGCAGGTACTTTGAAGTGGCTATGGTGCTGGCAGATCTCGGGGTCTCAGATTCTCCTGCATTGAAGTACCTTTCAGCCCCAAATACTCCAATTTCTCCATTCTCTTCTTTCTTTTCTAGCTTTTGAAGAGGGGACTTTCTTTGGCCGATGGGATTGATCTTTTGGCTTGGTTCACCAAGCCTTCCTACAATGGTCCCTTCATTGCCATTCAAATATGGAGAGAAAGTGGCATGATAGAGGTGATTATTGTTGTTCTCAGAGTTGAAAGTATGCAACTGATGAAAGCTGCTGTTGGGTGTAGATGATATGGTAACCATAGCTGAAGGAATAATAAAGTTGTAGGTAAAAGCCAAAAAGAAAAAATAGAACTATAGTTTAAGGTGAGGTTAATAGAAAAGGCAACAATACATGGAAATAAAGAATTGGTGATATGTTATGAGAAAGTTGAGCATAACTCAAAAACATGAAACAATATCCTAGGTGCTTGAGGATCAAAGTTGAGAGGGAAAGGAAATGGATTCAACAAGAGAGGGTATGAGATGAAGGGTTTAATGGCTGTCTTTCCAATTTGGGAGTAGCTCTATATGTAGGCTATTGGTGTATGCAAAATGTCACTTAGTAGGGTCATGTGTTTGTAGCTGACCTGACACTTCACCCTATAGTTTTCACGCGGAATTACTTTCAATTCCGACAGAACATTTTTTATTGGATTATTATTTTATATTACAAAGAGAACTTGGACGAGAAAACTAAGATGGTCACTGATCATAAGTGATCCAATTGAAAGAAATAAAAAATATATATTATAAAAATAACTTAACTGTTATCTTCATTCAATCAATCACAAATTATCATTAAAATAAAATTTATCATTTATGGTCCTTTGCCATTGGATGATACAATAACTCTTACATTATCACTGTATATATATATATTTTTTCTAAAAAACATCCTATGTATATATTATATAGATGGTAAGATATTGACTTTTATAAACAATATTATTTTAAAATTTATACTAGCAGTGTTTTTTAATTGATTAATCGTACAAAATATTTTAACCGAATATGTATAATTATTAATTTCAGAATACAATTATTTTAATTCGTTAGATATATTTTTTTAAAGGACGTGGGGTTATCTGTTCTATATTTTTTATGAAGTGTTTAACATTTAAAAAAAAAAGTTTTTAATTATTATGATAAATTATTAGAAGTAACGTCAAAAGACTATAATTATAGCCAATTTTTATAATTGTAATAAAAAGTACAAAATGTTTCTTTTTATAATTAAAAAAAAACTTACACATAAGTAAAATAAATTTTTTGAAGTTGAAAAATATTTCTTAGAAGTTACATTACTTTTATTCACACTATTTGCATATATTTTTTTCATACGTTGTTATCTGTGTATACTTCTCTTCGTTTTCTATTTGTCTGAAATGTAAAGAAATTACACAAAAATTTGGTTGAAGTATGATATCTCTTGTGAATGCTTTGTCTCTTTTCGAGCGAAGGGATAACAACTCCTGAATAGCAACTGTTCAATATCCACTCTTATTACCTAACTTCCACATTCTCGTCACCTTTTCCACCGAGAAAAACTCCATTTATTTACATGAAATCAATGATATATTTATTTACAAGTCAAATATTGGATTACAAAGTCTTACAAGAAACTGTGTACAAATAGCATGAATTTATTTTAAATTTGAGCCTGTTTCATAAAATATAAATTTTAAATAAGTCCAATCATTGTATAAAACTGAATATTTTCAAAACATGTAAAAATTGAAAAAACAAAAACATACAAAATTGGTACATAGAAACCGGTTGAACTTGTAATTTTTTTAAATATTAAATTTAAAATTATTTTAAAACAATATATAATGAGAAATCTTTTACTTGAATATTATACACGTGAATACTCGCTTTGTCTCGTGTTCAGTTAAGAGGTGTATGTTTATGAGCGTATAGTAAGTGATCGTTCTTATCAATCGGAGGAATCCTTGCAAAATATATTCTCACTTTCAAATAGAAGTTCAAAATCTTTTATACCTTCAGACTTATTTATAATATCATATATTACATAATCTTGACCTTAATAGTCTCGCTTTGGTCACAGTGTGTGTTTCGTCTCTACATAATATCTTTGGTACAGATTGTATTCATGACTTGCACCGTATGCTTATAGTATTCATGGTCATGTTTTACTGTATACTTACGATATGCATAATATACACTTACTTACACTTATAGTAATATTTTAAAATTATGATAAAAAAATCTATTATTATTATTATTATTATTATTATTATTATTATTATTATTATTATTATTAATTAATGTAAAAGAAAAGAAGAAAAATGAAAATAGAACAAGCAATTCTTATAAAGCAATTAATACAAGGAGAGATGTTTGATAATATATAGGATGATTTGAAATACAACAATTTTGTATATAAAATAAAATTAATAATTCATGGTTTATTTTAAAAAACATATAATTAAATTAACATAAAATTGTATTCAACTGACTTTCCGCTACCACCGCTGCATTTACCTTTTATTTTCGAATATCTCGTACACCAGGTAAGACAAATTAAAATATTTTTTTAATAATTTTTTTTTAAATTTCAATATTTTATAATATCCGAGGTTAATTTTTTAAATTTTCTAAATTAAAATTAGTGCTACATCCTTTTGAAAATATAATTATATAAGTTTATTAAATTTATGAAAAAGAAAATCGAACACACACACACACACATAACACGCTTCTATTTTCGTATCGTATAATTCAATAGTAAATTGATATTGATTATTTTATTAATATAATAATAATAATAATTATTATTATTATTATTATTACTATTATTATTATTATTATTATTATTATTAAAAGCATATCATTTTATATTGATATATTTTATGTCTTATGCATATAAACTTTTTGTGTGTTATTTTTTTTATTATGTATGTAAACTTGTTGTGGTTAATCAACATATTTATTAAAATTTATGTATTATTATATATTTTATTTAGATTTTTATTATTTATTTTGAATGTTAATAATCAGATGTAATTGTGTTTTTATTTAAGTTTTTATCATTCTAAAGTTATAATATTACATTTATTTAACAGTGTTTTTAAATATTATTTATTTATTTATTGTTTTATTAAAACCAATTCAACTATTAAATTTTCAACTCATCTTCTTGCTGGTTTGATTTTAACATCATTGATTATAACTTTTATATTTTTTTAAATTTAATGAATTTATATCATAGGAATTCAAAAACATTTGATTAGGATTTAAAAAAAAAGAACATTTTTATATAAAAAAGTTGTGGTAGTCAATTAAGACTTTCTAATTATATAAATAAATATTTAAATATTTAATTAGCATTATCACGAGTATATAAATAAGTTAATCAAACTTAATGATATTTAATTGACGTTTTTATAATTATAAAAAACTCAGTAATATTTAAAAATATACAATTTTTGGTAGGTTACTTTTTTAAGAAGATTTCATTCTTATATCACATATATAAACTAATCACGTCAAAACTATTCAACTTTCATAATTTTTTTCTCTTTCAGTTGTTAATCTTAGTTGAAGTTTATATAAACATTTATGCAATAGCTTTCTTTATTTAAGTATTACTAAATAATAAAGATAATAACTTTAAATTTAGTCTTTAAACCCAAAAATACAAACTTGTTGAAAAAAATTACATATTTCTTTTTTTGTTTTTTTAAAAAGTTGTTTGCTTGATTAGTATGAGGCTGCTAAACATACACCAACAACTCATATTTTTCAATGCATGGAATGCTAAAGTCCACAAAAATATGCATTTATTGGTAATAATGATAACATAGACAAATTTTGAGGGTATGATCCTTACACATATCATTTTAGTCTTTTCAAAGAAAATCCAAATATCACTTCTTCACGTATATTCATAAAGATGATGTTAAAATAACATTTAATTTACATCCAATAATAAATTATTAAGTCTTATAACTCCTGTCATTATTGAATTTTAAATTCCTGTTTCAAACTTTTTAATAGACATTACAACCATATTTCCTACCCAAAAAATAATCATATATATATATATATATATATATATATATATATATATATATATATATATATATATTATCTCCGGATCGAAAAGATTTAATATGTATTATTTTTCACTTATTTTATTTTAATAAACATATAATAAATTAAAAAATTAAAAAATTAAAAAAATATATAAATTATACTTTGATTTCTAAATAACATAATACTTATGAATGTATTAAAATAATAATTATCTTATTTTTACATAATTATTATCAAGTATATATACACGTTTATACATCTTAAATATTATTTTTTCTATCTTATAAACGTTATTTTATGTGTGTAAACAGTGAAAACAAATATAATTATCTAAAAACTTAACGAACATAAAAATCGTTATTATAATGATATATTTTTAAAATAGTAAACATGAAAATAATAACATTTATATTACATTATATTATTGTAATTGTAATGTAGACTAAAATTCCGGTTCATTGGTGGAATCTCAGAATATAGTAACATAATTTATTTATATAGATACATGCAAAAGTAGTTCTCACAAAATTATCCCTATTGTCTAGTAGTTGCATCTCCACCTCTCAACTCCTGATCTGCTCCCACATAAAAGTGATCATCGCAGTCTCATCCACATGGAAAAATAGGGGTAAGTATTAAATCATTCGATATAATAAAACAAATATAGAAGTAATAATTACATATTATCATCAATTACAAATCATTAATACACTGAGACGTTTTCCGGAAGTCTACCCTAACTATGCCCGAACTCAGAGGCTATCATCTGTGGGCATATTGTGATCGGCACCCGCAATACCATTCTAAACGCCCTCCACATAGAATAGGATTATTGGCGCCCTTCATCACTCATACTTGAGTACCCCTCCGAGTGCACCACCGGTCATCCCCCCATCGACTTCTCACCACTTAATCTCGTAGTCTACCTGACCCGACCAATCAGTAAAGTCTGAGACCTCATTCAGAATCCTCCAACATAGTTATTACACTAATGTACTTTGTACCACCCCGGGCAGTGGCGGATCTTCTTGGGAGCTGAGGGGGGTCGTGACCCCCCCAAAGTTTTGTAACTCCCATGTAATTTATGATTTTGGCCCCAAACTTAATGAACATTTAATATATTTACTTGTATATTTACAATTCTATCCTCTCAGTCCCCTCCTCAGTTTTGTAACTCTCATATAATTTATAATTTTGTCTCC